AAGACGTTTAATAGATAAAGCAAAAGCCGTGCATGCAAGCAAAGCAAAACAAGGAATTCATTCCCTACTTCCCATCGGCAGGCAGGCGTTCAGCCACCTCCAGGACAGCAGGGCTCCATCACGCGTAACGGTTACTTGGGAAGACAAACGCCATCACTCCCAACGTCCCCCCCTTCCTTCTTCTTCCCCCAGCTTTATATGGTGAACATGATGTCATATGGTATGGAATATCCCTCTGGTCAGTTGGGGTCAGCTGTTCCGGCTGTGTCCCCTCCCAGGTTCTTGTGCACCCCCAGCCTGCTCACTGGTGGGGTGGGGTGAGGAGCAGAAAAGGCCTTGGCTCTGTGTAACCGCTGCTCAGCAGTAACTAGAACATACCAGAGATATCAACACTGTTTCCAGCACAAATCCAAAACATAGCCCCATACTAGCTACTATGAAGAAATTAACTCTATCCCAGCCAAAACCAGCACAAGTGAAAATATAAATTGCTGTACAACCCTCACCATACAATGAGCCTGCTGACTGTCTACTAAGAACCTTAAACTTCTCACTAAACATCTGTCAGCTAAAGACAGATTACTTTTTGAGGCCAAGAAAGAGCAGGAGGGATATGAAAACTGCAAGCACTGGGAACAGTGGATCAAACAGCTTTAGTTCCAAACTGTATAGGCAAGCATGGGCAGTGGGCTGCCTCCAGGAAGGATCGTGGTCAAGTGGAGTTGCACCTGGTTACTGACAGAGTTGGTGATAACAGCAGCAAAGGGCTGGCAGGAAGGTAGCATAGAGACTGTATTGGCTTTTCTGGAGTGGTTTTTCTCTAGTGAACTAGGAGTTGATGATGAAAAAGTTTATTTTTAACCATGTAGCTGAGGCATAATGTTTCCAGCAGCCTGAACAAAGGCATCTAACTAAATGAAGAGGTGGGGGTGTTGGGTGACTTTACACAGCTTGCCCTGGACGCATTCCCAGCGTGATATGAGCGTGTCTGGCACAGCTCTGTGCTGTGGACAGGACCAATTGGTAGCTGTTTGTACCATGGCTGCTACTGTCAACTTTGGGTATCTAGTTGTTCTGCTCATGGTGTTTTACAGGTGAGTGGTATCCCATCACTTGGGAAAATGAAGGGATGGTAGTGGACTGTAACTTCACTTTGCAGCTGTAGTGGTCAGGCAGAAGGGTGGAGAGACTGGTGTAAAAGAATGATGAGCTCATTTTTTGAGCTCATTTTTTAAGCTCTTTTGTTCTCAAACGTTTTGGACCGCAGGCAACTACCTTAATCCTCAATTTCTCTCAAGTTTATGGTTTAAACTTTAAAGCAGCCTGGTGCTAAGGAGCTGTCACCATGGCTTTATAAACCACAGTTTGGGAACTGCTGGTGTGGATAATTGTGTCCTTCTGGGGCAAAAGCCACTATGACCATAGCATTTCAGTCTGAAGATGTGAAACATCTGTGCAGCTTGGGAGCAGCAAACGGTGCTGTGGCAGCGTTCAGGCAAAATGCGGAACAAGGCGAGGATAGCTGGGTAACTGGCAGAGACCTGTGCTTGCACCTAAGTGGCGAGACTGAAAAGACAAGTCCTTACTGTTAATGGAGACAGTGTGGACTCCCAGGGAGTTAATCAAAATCTCTGTTGGTGGGTAGATGTAATAGACTGCTCTAAGTGCTGACTTTGGCCTGCAAAGGTGGTACAGAAAGCTGTATCTGAAAGCACTAGAAGCAGAACTCCTGTGGCTTCAGGTTACATCTTCCTGCATATAGAGAATACTTTTAAGTTTAAATAGGGCCAAATTTTAACAAAAAATGGGGCTTTGAAAATCAAAGGGAGGGTTAAAAATTTTTTTCCCGCAGTTCTTCAGGGTGCAGTCTTTGGATTGCAGCCTTATAAACCTCTAAAAAGCAAAGCTTTTAGATGTGATGTGTTCCTGTGGCTTTCAAAGGAAGGACGTAAGAACTA